GCTATCTTTTCTTCTTTTTCAACTTGTTATTTCCATGTTTATGTTTGTTTTATTTTATTTTCAGTCATATTGATTTGAATAAAAATGAGTTCCAAAAGCAGAAAGAGAGCACAATTGACTCAGCAATATGCTCGTAGAAAGACTTATAAATTTGAACAGTTTATAAATATCCCATATATTGGTACTGAAGGTGAAAAAGTTGAGGCTTTTGATAACATAAAGAAAATACCATCTGTAAGCAAACTTTTGTATCCCCATTCCTATGAACAAAGTTATGTAAGCTCTAGTGTTTTATCAGGAAGTGATTTGTTACCGTCAAAGGAAGAGTTTCATAATGTTCAAGGTTTTGGCTGTTTTGACATAGATGACTCTATTGCATGGAAATCAATAAATGCAGTAGAAAAGGCCGCAGACCTTTTTACTGATAACTTAAGCAATAACGATGAAAGTAATGACCTGACGTTTAAAGAAGATCTAGCCCAATGGGCTGTGCAATGTTCGGTGCCTCTAGCAACATTAACATCATTATTAAAAGTTTTGCATAATCACTTTAGTGTAGATCTGCCAACACAAGCTACAACGCTATTAAAAACGCCTCGCAAGTTAGATATTATTCAAAAGTCAGGTCTGTAAATCTTTCAAGAATTTTTTTTGTTGAACCCTAATGTAGATTTTTTTCTTGATATCTAAATCATATTAAATATTTAATTTAGTTAGACATTGTAGTATTAAATAGTTAAGTTAAAGACATTGAATTTTACTTGATATTTCTTAGTTATATAGTTATAGTTATATAGTTATTGTTATATTTGCTTAGTCGAATTTCTTTAGTTGATAAAAATATATTTCACATGTATTTTTTTGTAGTAATATAAAAGAACTAACTTTTGTCTTTCAGGTGGTGATTATACCTACTTTGGAATAAAAGATGGTATTTTGAGAACTATTTTTAAAAAAGATCTAGATTTTGTTGAGTTAATATTCAACATTGATGGCCTCCCTATCCATAAAAGTACAAATGCTTGCCTCTGGCCAATTCAATGTCGTGTTGATAATGTGCGTGAAAACAGTCCATTTGTTGTGGCGTTGTTTTGCGGTGTACAGAAGCCAACTAGTTTGGAATTCTTGGAAGAGTTTACTTTAGAGTTAAAATTCCTAATGGCAAATGGCATTAATGATTATAATGGAAAAACCATACAAGTAAATACGAAATATTTTATCTGCGATGCGCCAGCAAAAGCTTTGATTAAAGGCATTGCTCACTATAATGGTCGCTATGGTTGTGATTATTGTAATGTAAAAGGAACTTATGATGGTCGAATGATGTTTTTATACACTGGTACTCAGCGCACTGATCAGACATTTAGAGAAAAAATTCAGAAAAGTCATCACAAGTATATCAGTGTCTTGGAATCACTTGAAATAGACATGGTACAACAGTTCCCTCTTGACGTGATGCATTGTGTGGACCTAGGTTGTACTAAAAAACTACTGTTAACTTGGAAGGAAGGCCCGCTTCCTTTTCGATTGTCATCAGGGCAAATTACTTTATTAAGCACTTACTTATGTTCTTTAAAAGAATACATTCATATAGAATTTAATCGTAAACCAAGAAGTTTGAAAGATCTCAAGTTATGGAAAGCCTCTGAATTTAGAACTTTTCTTTTATATTGTGGACCAGTAGTTTTGAAATATATACTCAGCAAAGAAAAATACAACCACTTTCTTTGTTTAAGTGTAGCTATTCGGATCTTATACAGCAAAGATTTGATGACTGAGTATAAAGGTTATGCTCAAGAGTTTCTTAGTAGCTTTGTGGACAACACCAGACTGCTCTACTCCGATCATCTATTAACTTATAATTTTCATTGTTTAAACCATTTAACTTTAACAGCAGAGAGATATGGTTGTTTAGATGGAGTGACAGCCTATCCATTTGAAAACAATATGTCAGCTATAAAAAGAATGATACGGGGTCCTTCTAAAGTAGTAGCTCAGATTGCTGGACGACTCACAGAAATAAACAATAACAGGTCAGCAGTCTGTAAAAAAAAGCTAAATTTTAATCCAAAGATCAACGAATGCTATCGTCTGAAGAGCGGAAATTTTTGTGTCATTGACTCAATAAATAGTAATGCTAAAAGTGTTCTTGGTCAAGTCTATATCAGAACAGAAAATTTATTCAGCTCTCCTTGTAATTCTAAACTTGTTGGTATTTACAAGGTTAACAACAAGCATACAGAAATGTTGTATATACCTTTTGATGATTTTGTATCAAAGGCCATAAGAATACCGCTGTCTCTTTTTGAACCTGATAATCTAGCAGCAGCAGTTATTTTATCACTTGTGCACAGTTGAAATGCTCTACAAGTTAACTAACCATATTTGGTATTCGTTAGATGCTAAATGAGCTATAAAGTGCTTTAATGATTTGAAAAATGGAACATTCAACATTTGTAAATTTATTTGTAATTGAATTTTAATGCCTCTTTGTATTATTTTGATTTCAATTTTTTTGATAAGTCAATATTTATGCTTTTACTCATTTACCTTGAATAAACTCAGTTACTTTACCCCCTTTAAAAGTTTACTATAATCCCTTAATTTACTACACCCGCTTTTTCAAGGACCTATTTTTTATAAACTAATTTTTTGTACGAAATAGGCAATTTCTTTTAATGAGCGAGTTTGCCCCCCCTCCCCCCGCCCTCCTCACTTTGAAAAAGTGTTTTTATAATCAAAATAATTATTAAGTAAATAATAGTAATGATATCAATACGTGATTTCATTTTGATATCATAAACTGCTCATTTTATATCAGGTTTGAAGTTCAGAATGATATCAATGATTGATTATTTTTTAATATCAAATTGGTATCATAAACTTCTCATGTTATAATATCAGCCTTTGATTTAAGAATGATATCAATGAGTGATTTCATTTTGATATCTTATTGATATCACAAACTTCTCATAGTATGATATCAGGTTTTGAGTTCAGAATGATTTCAACGAGTGATTTCATTTTGATATCATATATTGATATCATAAATATCAAAGTTTGATATCATATTGATATCCGTATGATATCAAATTCGTGACTGGGTGATCTTCATTAAAATAAAATTTTATTCAAAAACAATGGTGTCGTAAGGGCAACTGCCCAACGGTTTATAAATAATACAAGTCATGTTAAAATATTTTAACATGTTACTATATTTTGATTAAGTTGATATATAATTAAAAATAAAAATATAGTTTAATAAATAAATTAAATTTGTTCTTAACAAAGATTACCTCATATTTATTCTTTTTTTATTTTATTAAGTTAAATTGCTTACAAACGAAAAAAAAAGAGTTTTGTAATTATAAGTAGGATGAAAATACTTTTGAGTTTGTTTATAAGTTAAGGAACTTAATTTTTAATAAACAAATTTATTATAAACAGATACGATTCAAATTATTGAATATACTTAAATTATTTCAGTTGAGTATTTTTTTAAGTTTGCACGTTTAAAGTTTTGCGTAGAAGTATTTGTTTTTTTGTTTTAAGAATAATTAACAAAAGAGTTTGCATAATTAAGACTTTTATATTTAATTTAATCTTTTTTTTAATAACATTAATATAATATAATATATATTTCGCCGTAAAGAAAATATTTACAAAATTAGACTTAAAAAACTGTATATACACGGCTGGGGCAAGAAGAAGACAAATTCATTCTTATCGCCAAAATTTCCTAAATAATTTCCTAAAATTTAAAAAAAAGATTTAATCGTTAAAAACGATTTTCTCTATAGCTCTGTTTCTTTGTGATTTGTTTAAAAAGTAAAACATTTTTACAATAACATAAAAAATTTATGAATTAAATTCCTGGCGAACGCGTTCTAAACTATGTATCAAAAATATGCTCAAAGCAGACAAAACTTTTTTATATTTTTATAAAACGCAAGTTGAAAAGCTAAACAAGATAGGTTCAAAAAGAATTTAAAAACCTAAATTTTTCTTTGCTTGACAAAACAAAATCGTTGTTTAAATAATTAACATGGCTTTGTGTTAAATGCGTTGTTTAAATAATTAACATGGCTTTTGTTAAATAATTAACATGGCTTTGTGTTTATCAATGTTAATATTTTTTGTTTACTCTAGAAGTTTTTTAAATAAAAAAAAATATTATTATTTTTTATTCAATAACGATTAAAAACAATTATTCAAAAAAAACTTCAGAAATAATTTAAAAATATATATATATATTTCTTACAAAATAATATTGAACTTAAATTAATAATAAAATAACAATTAAAAACATTACAAAATTTTCATAATAAATTTACATTTAAAACGTTTATAGTTATTTGAGTTAATTGTTAAATTGAACTAGTTTGCGGTTATTTATTTATTGCGGTAGTTATTTTGCAACCCATCAGGAACTCAAAAATTATATTATAAATAATAAACTTATTATACACGTTTCTTTACTTTAATTTTTTTTTGTAATTTTAACTCTATTTCTACTTTGTATTTTTAAAAAAAATTTTTAGATTCATAACAAACAATGGACTTGAATAATCTTGTTTTAAGAGAAATGGCTGATTATATTACGACACGTGACGTAAAAACATTGAAAATGATACTACAAATTCTACACGGTATCAGTGAAAAAATTGATGACGGTATAGATTTTATGGATTATATAAGACAAAAAAACTTTATTTACAATAATTTTGAATACGAAACACTGGAATCTAAAATAAATCTTTTATTGAATCTTTTCAACAAAATTGGAAGAAAAGACATTTACAAAAAGTTTAGTAAAAAAATTGCTAAACCTCCGTCGTATGAAGAAAGCATATCACCACCTCCTTACGAAAAAATCGTTGATAACCAACCTTATTATCCGCCTGAAGTTATTGTTTACAAACAAAAAGAAATTTTAAATTTTTATAACATACATTTGTAATTTTTTTTTTTAAATGTCAAATAAAAAATGTTTTTTTTATTTTTTTTTTTTTAATGTGTTTAAACAAATAGAAATAATATATATGATTTTATTTAGATTATAATATTGTTTTCATTTCTTTCAATGCATAAACAAATTACGCTTCAACGTGATCAAGACGAATTTAACAGAGAAAAAGTTAAAAAATTTGCAATTTGGTTACCTCTTTATCACCAAATCCAAGACGAAAATAATATCACATTAACTTTATTATGTAAAAGTAAATTGGCATATATCAAACTTTTAAAAGAAATTATACCAAATCTACAAAAAAAAAATTCATGATTTATTATATCCGTTTTTAAAGTCAAATGATTATTGGTTATCCCATTTTAAGTCAAAAGAAGACTATTTTTTTAATGAAATTAATGACTGTGTTTTAAATCATACCAGTTATTTTAAATATAGAGATAATTATACCAAATGCTTTGAATATAAAGATTTAACACATAAAATTACTAAATATTCCAATCTCTTATGTTCAATTGTTTTTAATACATATAATCTATTTGATTCTCTTTATCGTCTAGAAATGTTTAATGCTACTGATTATTCGTTTGATTGTTATAGAAATGTCATGTCTTGTTTTTTAAAATTTATATAAATTTATTGGATTGGATTATTAAACAATGTGATTATGTTTTAGACCCTTATTTTAAACCTACTCGTGATGATAAATATGAATTTATTTAACTTTTTTTTTAGAAATAAAACAATGAAACTAACAACTATTGATAACGAAAGACTGGTACTTTTTAATCCATACGAATATGCAATATTTATAAGGTTGGCTGAAAAACGGTACGGTGAAGATTATTGCAACGTACTAAAAGAATTTCACAGGTTGGGACGCATTATAAACGAAGAAATAAAAAAACAAACAAACAATTTTACAAATATAGAACTATTTCATCAAATTGAAAACAATTGAAAATTTTGTTAAAAGTATAATATAAAAAAAAAAAGTTTTACATTAATAAATTTTTTCGTTCAATATATTGTCTTTTTCATTTTTTATAATATGATGACATTCCAACAAATCTTTATGTAAATATAAAGTTTCAACAAAGCAGTAACAATAATAAGACAATTGTTCCACTAGTAATTTTAAACTGTTTATATATTTGAAAAAAAAAACTGTTTATATATTAAAAAAAGTTTTATCCATTTCTATAGCGCGATTTAAATTAGTTTCTTGCAAATGTTTTTTTAAATTCAAATGCGTTTGATACAAGTATAACAAATCAGCGTCCGACTCGTCAAAAGACATTTTTATAAATGAAAAACTTATTTAATAAAATTTTATGTACAATTTTTTTATAAAAAATAAACTAAAGTAAACAGACACAGCATCCTTCGCATTGTTCATTTAGTTCTTGCACGTATACACAAACACTGTCGATACAACAATGTTGATGTAAATCATTACTACAACTGAAACAACCTTGACAAAAATATCGATTTCTTCTTCTTTGTGGTGTTCCAAATTTATACTCATGCATTATGCTCATTTGCTCTTTTAAAAAAATTATTTACATTAAACAAAATTATTTTATATTTTTAAAAATTTAAAAAGAATCAATAACATAAAAAATTACCTTCATCTATATCTGGCAAATCATCATAATATTCAAGTTCGCCTGCATACATATTTTCATCTTCTTCTTCTAGAGGTCTGTCTTCTACCACTCTAGGTACATACACTTGAGACAATTTATATTCCTTTTCAGGAATATAAGGTTTAACTATCTATAAAAAAAAGTTTATTTTTTATTTAAAAAAGATTTACTAAAAAAAATAAACTTAGAGCAACTGGTTTTTTAAACAAAATTTTTTTGACTTTGTTTAATTTACTTGAAGAAATTTTTTAGTAGTTTTTACCATTTTTCTAAATACTAAAAACTGCTACACTTGGAATAAAAATTTTTTTTAAATACTTGTTGCTGTGGAATAAAAAAACTTTTTATACTCGTTGTCGTGCATGATTAAACAGATTAACAATTTTTTAAGGGATTAACTTGCTGGTTGGTTGAATGATTAAAAACTCTGAAAATACTAGAAGGTATGATCATCAGATGATACATAGAACAATTATCCTGATAATTCTTTGAATTTAATGTCTTTATTCGACATTATTGTGCTATTCTATAATGGGACCAGTACATTAGTTAATGATCTTCTTGAAATATTGCCAAATCAAGGTTTCGAACTTCCCAAAGATGCAAGGAGAATTTTAAAAACACCTTATGAAAAGCGACTTATAGACAGGTTCTTGCTAATTTATATGTATATTTTTAAACATTTAATTACTTGAGAATTGTTTTAATATTGATACAGATATTAAAATTGATACAGACACTGAAAGAAATAGTTAAAAACTGGGTATATGACATACTATATATATATAATAAGTATATACTTGGCACTTGATAGAGTATTTCAAGTATAATAATTGATATACTATATCAAGAACCAAGTTTTGACTGTTTGAAAAAGTTAGA